AATGTGAAATTCCTGTGAAGTGTGACCTTGTGACCATTGAAGGGGTGTGGCTCAGCAAATAACTGTCTATGAGCCAAAAAAAGGCTTTAAGCAAATAATGCACAGTATGAAAATGTGAGCCTACAATCAGTTTAATCACATTCAAGCCTATATAAAGGCTTCCCAGTTTAGAATGACTTGCCTTGATTCATCAATATTAGAATGAGATTGATGGAATATTTCACCTGAAAATGAAAATTTTGTCATCATGCACTCATAGTTGTTCTAAACCTATATGAGTTTCTTTCTTCTGTTGAACACAAAATAAGTTATTTTGAAGTATACTGATAACCAAACAGTTGACGGTAGTCGTTTCTATGCTATGGGAGAAAAAAAAAAAACACTATGGAAGTCAATGGCGTCAACTGTTTGGTTACCCACATTCTTCAAAATATCTCCAGAAGAAAGAAACTTGTACAAATTTGGAACAAGTGAAGGGTGAATGATGACAAAAATTTCATTTTTGTGTGAACTATCCCCTTAAGAACAATTGTATGTGTATAAACATGTGAATCCAGTGAAAATTTTCTTTGAGCACCTAATTTGTATGCAATTATTTGTGAATGAGGCCCACCGAGAGCAGCGTCTTCAAAAATGCAGGTGTGATCTACATACACCTGTTAAGGAAAGACAAATGAAGGATCACATGATGTTCTTTTACCATAGATGACCTATTTGCCTCTGGCATGAGGACATTCTAGGGTCAGATCCTGAACTATTATTGAGCAGCATGTACCATAAAGCTGTTATACTCCTTACTAACAAGCCTAGACAAGAACAGTTCAATGGTGCCAAGTCTAGTCAGGGGAAGTGGATTATTCTTTTAATTTGGGGGGGGGGCAATCTTGGCTGTATAATAAAATTTTCACCAAAAGACTCTGAACTTGGCTCTAGTTGAGGTCTCCTGGGCGAAGAGAAAGAACTGAGGTTTTGTTTACAACATAAAAAAACAAGAATAAACATTAGCTATTACTACCAGGTTATCTCTATTTGTTCAAAGTCTCTTATCTATAATTCACAGGAGGAAACTAACCATAATCTACATATCTTTTGTGGTTACATACTTCACTACACCATGCTGCTTCTGATCTTGTCCAAGTGGTTTCCATACTCATAAATTAGTCACAGCACAGTTTGTTTACCTCCGTAAACTGTCATGAATCTAATTAATCTCTGGTTGAAAAATCTCACATGGTCATATGAAGTCTTTCCCAAAACTCTGGGGAAAGTCAAAGCCACTGACCTTTAATTCCCCTTTCTTCTCTAATCTCACGCTATCCTCTTCAAGGTGATCCGTTCCTCTCCGAGGCATCAGGGGAAAGGTTTAAAAGGTTTTGGAATGCCCCAGAGTCTCCCAGTGGGGGCTTTCCAAACATTCCAGGGGCAGTTTTTCTCTCTGTCTGCTTTGTTTCCAGCGGGTTTCAACAGCCGTTTTTTGTTCGCTGTTCTAAACAGGCTGAAGTCTACACTTGTGCACTCTAAAGACAGTTTGATGTCCTTTTTAGTATGTCAGAGGAACTGCTTTAATGTGGCATGCATGTCTGTGTTATCTAAACTTTAACTACCTAAGCTTGTCAGTTGGAAGTGATGACAATGCACTAAATCATTGCCATTGGCAATTGACGTAGAACAGACGTTGGTTTGACGTAGGGCTGGGCGATATAGCTAAAAAAATTTAGCAACGATATAATGTTTCATATCGTTCTGTATCGATAATTATTGACATTTTTTATAAACGTTTTTAAAACAAAGAGCAATAGAAAGATGTTTACATTTAACCACTGCATTTTTAAAGTAACTCAATTTATTGAGACAAACAACAAATTTGTTGTTTTAACAGCCAAACAGAAAATAAAAATTCAAATTAAACAAATATCTAATTTCTAATGTTTTATATGCAGATTAAATAGGTTAAACTTTTGGCTTGTTTCCCGAGGACACAGGAGGGTGCAATGAGCAAAATAATGCAGCACATTAAATTGTCAATGCAAGGAGATAGATAACTGTTTATAATATATAAAAAAAAACATGCATTATCTAAATTAACTCATAAATCAAATATAATTTTGTAAATTGCATAAACAATTATGAACAAAACAGCATCACGTATTTATGCATTGCTTAATACAAAGAGCCGGATCGCCCATCACACATATTGCCTTTAAAAACATATGAGACGCAGTGAAAAGGAATAAACCTCCACAAATTCGTGACGTGTTTTCTAAAAGTTTAAACTGATTTAACCTTGCATGGCTTTCTATACATCTCTTGTGTGTCGCGAGTGCAGCAGTCATATTTGTCCGTCTAGAAAATGCGCTGAATATGCGTTCTGTGTGAATGGCTTGGTTTCGGTTTTAACCCATTCAAGATCTTCTCCGCATTGAGCTTCTATATTTCTCTAATATTTTGAATGCATAATGCAGCAACTGCGCGTCTCGTGGGCTAGACTAACAAAACATTAAACTACAACGTCACTTCATCACCGGATCTCGTGCTCCACTGATGACGCTCCCTGACGCACACCTAACATTTGATTGTACTATTTTTGCATTCAAATGCAAATGTTTATTTTAAATTAGACTAATATTCTTTTTTTTAAAATTCACAATCTCCTCATCACAGGCAGGCACAGCGCTCATGTTCGTGTTTGTGTGTGCTGTCTGCGTCACTCATAGCACGTGCCTATATCGTGCACTACATCGAACATTTTTTATATCATTATCGAAGAAGGTGTACCGTCGATAAATATCGATACCCTTTCATCGCCCAGGCCTAGTTTGATCAAATACGCAAATCAAACTGACGTCAGAAACTTGATATGACATTGATTTGATGTAAATTTAACATCAAACAGTCTAAGTGTGGGATTAACTTTCTATTTTCACCCAATTACTAGGGCTGCACGATAAATCGCATGCGATATTTAATGCGCAAACTGACAAGCTGCACAAAACCACGTTCATAATCGCGCGATTTTTTGCACAGCTTGTCAGTGAACAACGACTCCGTGTAGTAAATGCTGCTCAATGTGAAAGCACGCACGTGATGGAGATTTACCGCTGATTACAGAACCGGCTTTACTGACAAGATGCGCATTAAATATCGCATGCGATTTATCGTGCAGCCCTACCAATTACCATTGGAAGAAATTGCCGTCCTAACTGAATTTAAAATTATGTTGTCTTGATCATGTCTTGACTAATATTTGACGTCAAGTGCCCGCTGGGTTTTTCAGGGGATTTCAATCTGACCGTCATTGCTTCAGGCTTTGTTTACACCTGGTATCAAGATGCTTTTCATCGACCACAAGTGGACAATGTTAAATACAGGCATAAATGTTTTAAGCTTGTCCATTTTCACTTCCAGAGGTAGTCAAAAAAGCATTTGATCTTTTGTAGTGTATGCCTAAAATGTGAGCATTATGGGACATGCTCTGAGTAAGCACACCAAAACAATCGATTCCAACTAAGCTATGTTGTGCCACACAAAGATTATGATTGAAATTGCTGTTACCATTAATATCCTTTCCATTTGCTTCCATTTCCAGCTCGCTCATAAACAGCGTAATGGCTTCAGTCATCATATTCATGCTGGCAAGTGTGCCAAAATAAGATGTGAGGAAATCTAAACACAAGTGGTCACAGGAAATGGATTTAAAAATGCATGCTAAGACCAGGTGTAATCAGTAATGCGTCTCAGCTCATAATGTGATCAGACCACTGAAAACGCATCTTAAAACCAGGTGCAAACAAGGCCAAAGATCTTACAGAGTAAGAGGTCATTTTAAGTCTTTCAACACAGGTTAGAACAGTAATTGTTAACCAGTGAAAAATGGGAAAACTTAGGTTATAGTACGGTTAATGGATCGGCCTGTTTGGGATTAAAACCAACAACCTTTTGGCTATCAACCGAGATTATTAACCATCACACCATTTAATGTACAGTGACATTTAGATACTTTAACAGACAAAAGCAAAATAGCACGACCATTCCTTGATGTCAATGACCCAAGACATTTAGGATGTCCAGACCTGGGAGGAGCTATGGGATAAAATGCACTTGCATCATCATTGCCCACAGTTAACGCTTAAAAAGGTGAATGTCATCAATCCAAGAACGAATTTAGGATGTGGTCATGACCTGTTGCAAGAAGTCTGATTTGTAACCTACATTTGGCTGGTGAAACATGTTATCTAACTTCCTTTTTCCAACGATTAAAAGAATTAGCTCTGAGCTCACAGCCCAAACTTCATTTCAGTAGATACATGGATGTGGCCAACACAATCTTATGGCAATTTGTAACTATTTAACATTTTAGCAAATTAGTGACTAATTTGTATGATGTGTATGGTTGTTCGCCTCCTTGTCACATAGTTACGTTTTCTCATTCGATCGGGTTGGATGTTGCATATTACAATACTCCAAAAAAAAAAAAACATGTAGGCTACATATAAACATATGATTATTATCAACATAAGCTTTTCTATTAATTTTTATTGTAATTAATGTATCCAGTTCATTCGTTGACTGGACCCAGAAATAAAAACATACCCAGCCGGCATATGACTGACCTTCAACGTTGAAATATAGTTGAAATAAGGTCGGTTCTTGTTTTAACGTTGATACAACGTTTAATGCTGAACGGTTGAAATACATTTAGCATTTACAGTGAACAGTACTAAAATTAATGTCTCCAGTAAAAACATTTCTACATATCTAAAACGAAACTATTATGTGCGTGTTGACAAAACTGTTATACAATCTAATGAGTCAAACAATTGACATCTGATCATACGAATCGAACATGTCAGAATGGAACGGGTTGTTGGTTCAGTGAGCGTGATTTCAGAACCGCAGATTCGGTCCAATTTGCGCAAATGATCCAGTTCATTTAAAAGATCCGACTCAAAAGAACAAATCCTTCACGAATCAGACGTCGCTACTTTATTAGTAAGACTCACCTGATCTTGAGATGTTCTGGAAGTATAATATAAGAATGAAAAACGATCCGACGCATGTCGCCAGAAACATCCGACCCACTTTGGGCTTTATCATTCTGATACTCTTCTAACGAACGATGCCTGACTCTCGCCCGGCGACGGAGGTCCGAGAAGGGCTGTTGTCTCCGAAGAACAATCCTAAAAGCGTCTGTCCAACGGGTTCCTCATTTTACAAAGAAACACAAAAAGTCAAAAAAAAACTTGGTGTAAACTAATTCCGATACACGCTTTACCCAAAGCAGCCCGCTTGTCTACCCGAGAACAGACCGCTTTATAGTTGGGTGTTACACGAACCATTCACCCAAAAAACTTCACAGGTCCAACTCTGTTTCAGTGATCCTTCGCTTTCCAAGCGGTCGCGTCAATTAAGCAAAAAATCCATTGATCACTTACATATCTTCGGTACGTCACATGTTACTGTTGTCAGTTGAACGCTCAACTTCCCCTAAACATGGAGGGCATTGTATCAAACTTTCGTGCATGACGTCACGCCCACCAGCATCTAGCTGAGTGCCCAGGGGCCCCTGGATGTGACGCAACAGCTGGAACCCTCGAGTGCGAACGTAAAACTCGAAGCGTTTTCTAACGTTACCGAATAAAAGTAAAGAGACTTAAACAGACTTAAAGTACTTAAAGTACATTAATAAGTGGCTTTCATGTCTTTAAATAAGGAATATCTCATCTAGGCTATTTTTTCTTTTTAAAATGTCAAACGTTTCCGTGTGATAACCATACACACTTTTATAAACGTCTAATCATATACTATATAATACTATACAATACTATATATGTGTCAGAAGTGATTTTTGTATAAATATTGTAGCCTATGTTTAGTGACATCTGGTGGAAAATACAGGAACATTCTGACTGACTGCTTCACTCGTCTTTAAACCAGGAATCTTCAAACTTCAAGAACTCTTTCAAAAAAAAAAAAAGAGACAAACGCTGTATACTGCGTAAATTTGAGTGTTGTATTTTAACCCTATTAATGCATTTACATAATATACTTTATGTTTACATTATTAATGTAGGCTAATTCAAAATTGTGGATTAATTTTTAACTAATAACTTTGGGAGGGACAATAAAAAAATGTAGCTAAACTTCTTGAGTCGATGTAATATTGTATTTTAACACTTGTGCATGCTTGCTCTAAACTGAAGGATATAATGTTTTTAGGTTCTTTTGAGGTCTACAGAAAAGTGGTGAGTGTGAATTCTCTTGAGGTTGTGGTGAATTGGCCTTGTACAGCCTAAGCACAGCTCCCGATACTGAAAACTGTACAGTCAGCATTGTTTCTATGATAAGTTATCACTGTCATCCAGCCACAACTTCTGTTCATCTCACAAAGAAAAGCATGCCTGCATATAATATAATTTACTGTTAAGTAAATAAACGGTGGATGCAGCATTGCTAGGCTGCTATAAGTTTCCTGTATTAGATCAAGACTTCAATGTAAATGGGAGGCAGGTTTTAAACTATGGAAGTCATAGTGATAAGCCCTATAGGAACGGGTCATGTTGTTTCAGGTCAGAGTCAAAGTCCAATAACAACTGGCCTGGTTCATGTTGATTCAGAGTCAAAATGACCCAGACCCAGAGGAAATGTGGTTTCGCTATTTATATACAGTACATGCAAAATATATTATATTTATAAAAGACTTACATTCAGCCAAATTCAAGGACAATAATATATAATAGCTGATATATAATAATTACTTGTGAAAACAGATTTCTCTCTAAAATTACCTACTCTGAAGTGCTGAAATATGGAGATACACGGAGATGCCATATTAGTTTCAATGATAGTTACAGACATACATATGTATTGAAATGCCACAAAAATGATTGTGATTTTAACTGTAAAAGACTGTAAAAATGCTACAACAAAAACCTGTTAATTGGTTATCAGTAAGTTTCCATACTATATACGGTGAATAACTGTAATTACATTTAATGTAATTTTACAGTAAAATACTGTTAAAATTACGCTTTTTGGCAGTGAAAAAGAAAAAGTCATCGTATAATTTACAGTGAAAAACTGTAAATTGACACTCCCAGAATTCCCTGCATGACACTTCATATTTTATGTTTTTTCGTTGAAATAACTATGTTTCTTCTTAGTTTTTCCTTATCAGTTGTGTACATTAGTGTTTTATCTTACATCTAATGTTGTTAAATTAATGTTTATTGCATTATTTCAGTTTCATCGTTTAAAACAGATATTAGTACTTCAATATGCTGGTTTATTAACATTACACCAGTTAATGAAATACAGTTTTTTATTGTGAATTTAAGTTAAGTCTGTAAAACCTAAAATGATTCTACCATATTTTTAACGGTGAAGTTCTGGCAACCACAGCTGCCGGTATTTTACCGTAAATGTCACAGATTTTTTTTTACAGTGTAGGAATTAAACAGGTCAGCCACTATATGAACAGATGGCCATTGACTAATGCATCAATAAGTGTGCTGCATGGAACATATGCATCTAATGTATTTTGCTTGGCCACAGAAGTGCACCGAAAGCACATCAACAAATTATAGATATTCGGATTCAGACCAAGATACTTGCTTAATGCTCAAAACATTTCCTGCAATCCAGAAGGTCAAGCTGATTTACATTAGTACTGGTTAGATGCAGAAGAACCAGAACTCATAGCGAGGTTGTGCTTCCTTCTTATGGGTTTAATGGTAGATGGTAAATCATATTTTTCCTCATTTTATCTCCCTGAGCAGATCCTTGGAGATCAATCAGTGTCTGAAAGCGAGAAAAAACCAGGTGTGTGTGTTAAAGTTCACAGGATTCAGTTACTGCTTTTATTGAGTGACATTAAGACACTTCATAGGGGTGTTTGAAGTGAAAAATGTTTGATATGTAGCCTGGCCGTATCTTTCCTGTGGGATTGAGTGATCCACTGCTGTAGCATCTGTTGCTCTGAGTTTATCATGATACTTTGTGGATAGGCCTATAGACACATTTAGACATTTTACATAAATGTACTCTACATTTATGCATTTGGCAGATGCTTGTTATGCAGAGTAACTTACACTGCATTCCAGGTATACACTTTATCAGTTCATAACACCTTATCTTGGCATTGCTATGTCACTTAACGTGCTACTTGTGATTAAAATGAAAATGTATTATAGTTTAAACTTATAGTAAATGCAATTAGTTAAACTTAAGTATTCTTTATTTTTTATTTTTATATATACTTATTTCATAGTTATCTATGCTGTCTTTGAAATATGAGTAAAGAGTATTGCCAAATGTACCGGCAAGCATTTATGGTAACTAAAATATGTTTTAATGTATTCTATTGAAATGTAAAACGTTCTATTGACATTGAAAGTTGCAATATAGTACATTTAAAATTTATTTACTTTAAATGTAATATCAGATAACAAGTACTTTACTGTACTTTACTAATATCAGATAACATGTGCTTTAGTATGTAAGTCAACACATTAAAATGTGTATTTTTTTAATGCACAACAAAAGATTATTCAAACATAGTGTTTAAAATGAACTTGTAGAACATTTAATTTGACATGATCAGAAAGTGCATTTTTATTTCATTAATATTATATTTTCTGCAAATAGTAAAAAAAAAAAAAAGACAAAATCTACTTTTTGAAGTACACTACAAGTGCACATTACATACATTTCTTTTTTACAAGCATATCTCTGCAACCCTCAGTTATTAGACACTTTTCCTTTAATTATTGATTGAATTTTACTGAATGAATCAAAAACTAGTCATAACATACACAAAAAGACTTCATGCAACTTAAACATCAATAAACCAAAATAATGAATTCAAATGTTTAAATTTTTTAGATGAAACTTTTTTTTTTTTTAAAGTTAAAGTCACATCTTTGAAGATATCACTGAGCAAATAATCAGTCCAGCCTCCCTCTGCATTAGAACTATAGCTCTTTAATGTTATGTTTTCTCTGGCCTTTGTCGTACTTGTCTTGGCAGACGGCTCAGTGTCTCTGTGAGTCAGCATGAACGTGCTTCCACTGAGATCAGCCAGAGTTGCTCTCAAAAAACCCTGAACCCTTTTTATTCAGGCTGTTGAAACAAGACACATTTCATGACCACCTGATCTCTGCTGACCTCTGTTAAGGCTTATGAAAGTCCGTCATTTAGCTCTCTCTTTTTTTTTATATCTATCTATTAAAAGCAGCAGGATGGGTCAATGACTTCACGGTTATCTGACCAGATCAACAGATATCAACGCAATTTTAACATGATATTCTCATATGATAAAGTCATTTATCTTACAAACTGCAAACAACAGCTCCTCCGCCTCCTAAAGATTCTCTCCTCTTGTAAAGGACAAAAAATAATACACAATTAACTGGTTCATATGAAGTCAAATAAAAAATAAATAAATAAATGTGAACTACAAAGTCAAAATATTACTCAGTTTTCTCTCCTTTATACATCTTTTCCATTAGTGATTTTCCATTCTGAAATTTTAAACACATTTGCTTTGTGAGGCATTTACAGAATGGGACTGACACCATTGATCCATAATTCATCACTTAATTAGTCAGTGAAATCGTTATGTAAAAAAAGAGAGTCAGATGAGACCTCATTCCTGTTAATACATTCACAGAGTTGCAATTTTACTTGCTTTATTTAAAAATGATAAATTCATTTATTCCAGCTTTTCTGCATAAAGAGTCTTAATACCACCTCAGGCCCAACTACACAATGTCTGATTCAAGTATATAAGAAAATGCCAACTATTAGGTAAACATGAGTTTATGAAATTTGTAACATATAATATTAGGTAAGCAAGGTTGTGCGGAAGTAGATTAAACCGTACACTACTATTCAAAAGTTTGGCGTTGGTACAATTTTTTTATGTTTTTAAAGAAATCTCTTATGCTTGTCAAGGCTCATTTAAAAAAAAAAATCAAAAATATAGTAAAGGCATTAAAAATATTGAATGTAAAATAACTGATTTTTAGTTTATTATATTTACAATTTTAATTTATTCCTATAATTGCAAAGCTGAATTTCCAGCAGCCATTACTCCTTTAATTCTTTGATGAAAAGAAACAGCTTATTAAAAATAAAAATATTTTGTAACATTATAAACGTCTTTTCTGTCACCTTTGATGCATCGTGGCTGAATAAAAGTATTCATTTATTAATTAAATGATTTACCATCTACCATTAAAACTTAATTACTATAATTAACTATAATTAACTATAATTAAAATAAATTAATATTATATCCTCTTAGTGTTTGATTTTTCCTGTGTGTTTTGTACACACAGGCTGAAATGTCCAGATCAGCCAGACTTTTATAAGGTCATATGTTACAGTAAATAAATTAAACTAAGGTACGACAGTATCTATAATCTTGCACATCTAGAATAAATGTCACACTAGGATCAATCATTTGTGTGATCATTCTGAATTCA